GGCTCCGGCGATCCTTCCGCCTCAGCCTTCCGAGTGGCTGGAATTACAGGCGTACGCTACCACGCACCGGCTGATTCTTTTTGATTTATTGTAGAGATGAGGTCTCGCTGCCCAGGCGGGTCTCGAACCCGCGGGCTCAGGCCACCCGCTCACCTCAGCCTCCCAAAGGCGCGGGATCACAGGCTGAGCCACTGAGCCCGGCCACGTCTCTGTTTTTTAAAAAGAGGGTGCTGAGTGTGCTCTGGGGCACCAGAATGACAGGGGCTTATGGCCTTTCTGCTGCCAGGCAGAGCCCTGGCTCTGACGAGGGAACAGTCCACCGCAGCATTCTGCATTCTAGACACTGAATAGGTATTCATGGGAAGCTAGGAAATGGCCCCGAAAGCTTGGTAGATATCTAGACCCAGGGGTGCTCCCATCCGGGACTTAGTGGAGGAGAGACGGAGCCCGAGAGGCCGGTGGCTGGGAGGCCTCAGCTCCTTTTCTCCCTCCCGTGGTCCTTTGCGGTTGCTGGGCTGAGCACGGGCCGTGCACCGCCTAGGACGTGGACTTGGTGGCCCTGCAGTCGCTGGACAAACTCACACCGCAAGAAAGAGTTCTCCGGCAAGAACTTCTTGACCTACAACAGTATGTGAGTAACAAACAACGACTAGAAGTTCTTCCCAGAGTCAACAAACGTATGCGTTCTTTTATTGGTCATCTTTCACACACAAGTGTGCACACCGCGCGCGCACACCAACTGTCCTGTACATTTTTTTATCACATTCCGGAACCCTCTTCTCCTTGCTGGAGCTTGGAAATACGTCTAAGGACTCAAGCCCAGGAAGGGAGGGCGCTCGGTCCCAGGGTCAGATGGCAGGCAGCACCCCCATGTACCCTTCAGGACCCTGAAGACCGAAGCCTCCCGTCTACTCCATGGAAGCACTTCCCGAACTGTTCCTTCAGATGAGGTCTCCCCTCACACACATCGGCCTGTCTCTCCCTAAAGTTGACCTCAGGCAACCTCCAGGTATGTCTGGGCTTCACCCTCCTCCCCTCCCCCGGCCTGAGCTCTGGCTATGCCCCCACCTCTTTTCTCTGTTTTTGTTTTTCATTTTTAAATTGTTTTTCGAGTCAGGGTCTCACTCTGTCACCCAGGCTGCAGTGTAGTGGCACGATCACGGCTCACCACAGCCTCCTGAGTAGAGGTGAGGTCTCGCTATGTTGCCTGGGCTGGTTTCAAACTCCTGGGCTTGAGCAATCCTCCCGCCTCGGTCGCCCAAAGTGCTGGGATTACAGCCATGAGTCACCACACTTGGCCTCCCTGCCAGCTCTCTCTCTCTCTCTCTCATGGTCTCCTTCCTTCCTCGCCAGGCTCAACCAGTCACCCCCCGACATGCTGGCTCCGCTCACCTCAGTGCACTGACCCCTGGGCTACTCCCTTCCCAGGGACTGTGTCTTTCCCGACCATAATCCTTCAGCTCAGACGTTACCTCCTCCACAAGTCTGGGCACCTGGGCAAGGCGCCTTTTCTGCGTGTCTTCAAGGCCCTGGGTAGCCTTCTATTCAGCCCCTCTATCTTGTAGACCCTCCCATGGGCTGATCTGTTCTTCACTCTCGATGGGAAGCCCCTGGGTGGCTGGGGCCACGCCACGTGCAATTTATCTTTGTATTCCAAATGCCTGGCACACAGCAGGTCCAAGATCAGTGCGGAATGAACGAACGGTGGCGCTCCAAGGAGGCTTAGTCATTAGCTCCTGCGGGATAGAAGGTGACCAAGATGGCCACTTCTAGAAAACCTGGGGGCATGAATTGAGACAGCTACAGCTTAAAGCTTCTGCGTCACACAGGCGCGCACACACACACGCACGTGCAGCCACGTACACACAGGCAGGCACACAGGCCCTCTCGGCGCCCAGGGTCTGGGAGGCCGCTGGGGGTGCTCTCAGGCGGGCGGCCTCTCCGACGCCACCCCGTCCCAGCCCGAGCTCTTCGGCAGCTCGGGGAAGAGGAGCCGCTGCTGAAGCCTCCTCAGGCTGGCCAGGTCCTCCGGAGAGAGCGGCGGGGGGGGCTTCCCCAGACCCGGCTCTTCCTCCTCCTCTTCCTCCACCTCCGAGGGTCCCTCCGGGAGCCTCGGGGAGCTCCTGGAGATGTAGCCCTGGTCGGACTGCACCGACTGCCGCTGCTCCTCCTCGTAGGGCGTGTGTGCGTCCTTGAGGACCGCGGCGGGGCCCTGGCAGCCCAGGCTCTGCTGGAAGAGTGACAGCATCAGGTCCTCAAGCTGCTCCCTCACGCCGTCTGGCAGGGGGTCGGGAGATGCCACGGGGGTGCTGCAGAGAGGCGAGTGCTCCGGGTCCCCCGGGAGGAGCAGGACGCTGTTACGCCGAGGGCCACAGTCCCCCAGCAGTGGCCAGGCCTCGCTCTGCTCCACCACGGCCAGCTGGCTGGCTGCGCTGCCGCCATCGGCGAGGGACACGGGCTCCACTGCCCCAGCCGGAGGAACCTTCTCCACGGGGAGCACCAGGGTTTGCAGGGACTGGGCCACCGGCTCCCCCGGGAGCGGAGGGCGAGGCTCCAGCCTTGCCAGCCCGCCTTCCTCCTCACCCACGAGGAGGCCGACGGCCAGGCAGCCCTGGGAGCCGGGCTCCCGCACCAGGGGCATCTGTTTCACGATCCCAATTCCTGGGGGCAGCGGCGGCTCCTCGAACACCTCTTCGTCCAGGGATGGGAGGTCCTGGTCGTCCGCCGGGCAGAGATTCTCGCGCTCAAACCAGTCGGGGCACTGGGCCTGCCACTCCTGGAACCTGTCCAGGGCCTCCCGGAGCTGCTGGCCGCCGGGACTCTGCAGGTAGCCGTCCCCTGCAAGCTCCCCGACGCGGTGCATGCGGCCGGGCTCGAACATCTCCAGGTCCTGGATGCGGAAGTAGACCTCCTCGAACCTGTCCATGAGCGCATACCTGGATGTGATGTTGAAGAGGTCGGGCACATCGCCCTCACTGCTGATGCCGCTGAAGTAGCAGACAATGTAGGTGCCAAAGCAGGCCGGCTTCTTGAAATCCGGCAGGATCATGTTCATGGCGGCCGTGAAGAGGTCCCCGGCGGGCCAGCGGTCACAGCGCAGCCGGAGGGCGGGCTCCTCCCAGCCCAGGATGGCTTGCCACTTGGCCCGGGTGCCTCGGGAACACAGGATGACGATCTTGGAGTTGCTTTCCACCATCTCCTGCTTCTGGCGGCCCACCCAGGTCATGACCCCCACCTCCGAGATGGTCTGCTCTTCCAGCAGGTCGAGGGCCACCTCGGTGCCACAGGTGGTGAGCAGGAACTGGGCGAATTTCAGGACCACGTCCACGTAGAGGGGGTGGTCAGCTGAGTAGACGAGCCAGACCTTCCTGGGCTTCAGGGGCGGGGGCGTCAGGTCAGCCTCAGAGAGGACATCTAAGGAGACAAGACCACAGGCGTGCTGATTATCACAGCCGGGGCCCCGGGTGGCGTCCCCTGCTGGCCAGCCCGGGAGGGGCCTGGACCAAACAGTGCTTGGTTCCCTCCCTAGCCTAAGAAATGCCACGGAGAGCTTTTGAAATACGGCAGAGGTTGCTGTTTGACCTTGTTCTGGCTGCCTGAAAAAAACCACAGTCTCTCACATTCCCATCTGGTCTCCAGCATATATATTTTTGAGTCGGGGTCTCATTCTGTCACCTAGGCTGGAGTGCAGTGGCATGATCATGGCACCGTAGCCTGGACCTCCTGGGCTCAGGTGATCCGCGTAGCTGGGAATATAGGCATGCACCACCATGCCCAGCTAATTAAAAAAGTTTTTTTTGTAGAGACAAGGTTGGCCAGGCTGGTCTGGAGCTCCTGGGCTCCAGTGATCCTCTTGCCTTGGCCTCCCAAAGTGTTGGGATTACAGGCATGAGCCACCACACCTGGCCTTTTAGCTTACACTTTAATTATTTTAACTTAAAAAAGCAAAAAGACACAGAGGCCTGCCTGTGGAAGAGTAATGCCGGCTCCAGGGAGGGCCTCTTTTCACAAAATAGGGTACGATTTTCTTTTCCTTGTCTGAGTCGTTAAAAAGTGGCACCCCGGGCCTTGCGATCTGGGGTCCCCTGCAGCCCAGAGTAGGGTGCTGGAAGGAGGATCCTGAGGGGATTTGGGAGTCAGACCGCAGAAGGCGACTCCCTGAAATCTGGCCACCCTGAGCTGACTCCACTTGAGGGAAGTCACTTACCCAGAAGTGTCCTTGCAGGATGTATGTGTCTTACAACACTTCTTTCTAGAAGCAGCAACCTCTATCGGGCCCCCTTGCAACATTTCCTCCTGGTATTTTTGAGGTAAGGGAGGGGAACCCACATTCTTAAGCAGCTGCTGTTCCATTTATCCCAGAACTCTCCACCACATATTTTTTTTCTGAGTTGGCGTCTCACTCCATAGCCCAGGCTGGAGCGCAGTGGCATGCTCACAGCCACCCCAGCATTGACCTGCTGGGCTCCAGCGATCCTTCCGCCTCAGTCTTCCAAGGAGCCGGAACTACAGGCATGCACTACCATGCCCAGCTAATTTTTAATTTATTGTAGGGATGAGGTCTCGCCAGGTTGCCCGGGCTGGTCTTGAACCTGTGGGCTCAGGCAATCTACTCGCCTCAGCCTCCCAAAGTGCTGGGATTACAGGCTGAGCCACCAAGCCCGGCCTCACACTTTTTTCTTTTTTTTTTGAGTCAGAGTCTCACTCTGTCACTCAGGCTAGTGTGCAATGGCACAATCAAGGCTACTGTGGCCTCAACCTATTGGGCTCAGGCGATCCTTCCACCTCAGCCTTCCAAGTAGCTGGAACTACAGGCACGCACCACCACGCCCGGCTAATTTCTTGATTTCTTGTGGAGACGAGGTCTTGCCAAGTCATCCAGGCTGGTCTTGAACCCCTGGACTTAGGCAACCCTCTCGCCTCTGCCTCCCAAAGTGCTGCGATGACAGGCGTGAGCCATCACACCCGGCGACCAGACCTTTAAAAACAGACACACACACAAGAGGGGAAACACTGACCTGTGCATCTGGTGTCATTAGCACACTTGTCATGATGAGATCCTGAAAGGAAAGAGATACGTTGGCGTGGTTGTCTGGGAAGAGACATCGAAACCAGTTCCCGGGGTGTTTGCCCAGGGGACTGGCACCTCCCCATCCCGACACAGCGTGAACAGCGAGGGGGCAGCCTCCAGCCGGTGGCCGTCGGAGTCTCTGGGCCTCTGCGGGGTGGCCAGGCGGCCATGCAGGTGTGTATCCGGATCTGCCCCCCCATGCGCCGTGTGATCTGCGACAGTCACTGCCTCTGAAACTCAGTTTCTTTCTCTATAAAGTGGGTCTGCGTCTACTCTTACTTAATGGGTATTAAGTGAGACCGCGCAGGCGAAGGGTTTGGCACAGCCTATAAACTCAGTTAGGGGTCACAGTTATTTTGTAGCTCTAACCCAGCTGGGATGCCCCCGCCCGATCGGTGCTGGGGACAAGGTTCCACCCTGGTCTCTCATTATGATCCTGGTCTCCTTGCTTCCCTGAAATCTGGTCACCCTGAACGGGCTCCACTCGAGGGAAATCTCTTCGCCAGAAGCGTCCGTGCTGGATGCATGTGTCTTACAACACGACTTTCCAGAAGCGGCCCCCACTGGGCACACTTGCAACATTTCCTCGTGTTATTTTTCGAGGTGAGGGAGGGGAACCCACATACTTAAGCAATTGTTCTTCTCGGAGATGAGATGAAAAACTGCCGTGCAGGATTTAACTCCTCAGTGACTGCTGGCGTGACTGGCGCCCACGGATGACAAAGCCAGAGACTTAGAACCTTAATTTCAACCCTCACCCTGAGGGCCCTTTCTTAGAAATGTCATAATACAGTCACATAACTAGAGAGGTTTCTCCTTTCCTTCACCATGTGGTGCGGGACCCTTCGGGAAATGGTCAGAAGCGCAACATTAGAAATGAAACAAAAGCCACTCCCCGACCTCAACAGGGAGCTTTGTGGTATATGGAGCACTTGCCAAGGCCAGATACTGTGGCTTTGGGAGCTGGAGGCAAGAGGACTGCCTGACCCCGGGAGTTCGAGACCAACCTGGGCAACTTGGTGAGAACTTGACTCTACAAAAAAAAAAAAAATCAGCCAGGCAGGGTGGGGTACACCTGTAGGTGCCAGCTACTCAGGAGGCTGAGGCGGAAGGATAACCTGAACCCAGTAGGTCGAGGGTGCAGTAGCTGTCATGGTGCCATTGCATTCCAGCCTGGGCAACAGAGTGAGACTCTGACTCAAAAAAATAAAAAATAAAAATAAAGCACTCGCCCAGATGACACTGGAGCCTCCCAAGAATCCTTTGGAGAAGGCGACTCCCCACAGGTCTTCTCATCCCTGGTTGACTTCCCTTTTTTGAATTAAAAAAAGCTTTGTAAGACAGTGTCTCTCTATGTTGCCCAGGCTGGTCTCAAACTCCTGATCTCAAGCAATCTTCCTGCCTCAGCCTCCCAGAGAGCTTGGATTATAGGTGTGAGCCATGCACCCAGCCCAACAATATTAATTTTTTTTGGGGGGGAGTTGGAGTCTCACTCTGTTGCCCAGGCTGGAGTGCAGTGGCACACTCATAGCTGCCCCAGCCTCGACCCGCCGGGCCCCAGCGATCCTTTCGCCTCAGCCTTCCAAGGAGCCGGAACTACAGGCGTGTGCTACCATGCCCAGCTCATTTTTGATTTATTGTAGGGACGAGGTCTAGCCAAGTTGCCCGGACGGGTCTCGAACCCATGGGCTCAGGCAATCCACTCGTCTTGGCCTCTCAAAGCACTGGGATTACAGGCTGAGCCACCGAGTTCGGCCAAATATTAATTTTAATAACAAGAAATATAACTGTGGCTAATGTATACGGCACAAATACCACGCGCCAGGTTCTACATTAAGAATTCCTGTGCATGGCTCCACTTACACCTGACCACAGCTTCCAGGGGCTGCTAGGTTTTCCTTTTTACACGGGAGGAAACGGAGGCTCAGAGAGGGAGGTGATTTGCCCAGGGAGTGAGAGGTAGAGCTAGCACGTGAGCCCAGCTCGGCCTGACTCCGGTTCCAGGTTCTCCATCACTGAGCCGCAGAAGAGGCATAAGAGGAGCGACTCGGTTTGAGATTGACAGGCTGGGATTCAAGGGCGCCCTCTGAACACAGCCTTCCAGAGAGTTCGCCCGTGAGGATGGAGTGGGAGGAAGGAGCCGGCAGAAGGCAGGAGGGAAGGGAGGCGCCCCGGAGGGAGCCCCAGGACCGCCCCGAGCCCCGGCCCCTTACCGGACAGTCTCCAGGTCATGCAAAGAACCATCAGGATGGCGGAGCCCACCAGCAGGATGGAGACGCCCGTGATGCACCCGTATACCCACAGGGGCATGTAGTCTGTGGAGAGCAGAATGGCGTGAGGGACACGGCGGGGCCTGCGCTGCCAGCCCCAAGGCCCCCCGCCTCCCAGCCCCGCACCCCAGCCCAGGCTCTGTCCTCTCTGGCCCACACCACGACAAGGTTGTGGGCTCTCCGCACTCTGGGTCGGCTTGGGTCAGACTTGTCTCCCAGGCTTCACACAAGGCTCAGTCAGGGCCTTCTCATGTGGCCCCTGGGGGCTGTCTCCTGAAGGCTACGGCCTGGCATGTGCTCACCTGCATCTGGGTCTGCAGTGAGAACAAAGGACAAAAGAGAAAACACTCCGTCACCCAGACTGGAGTGCAGTGGCCTCTCCCGGCCACCGCAGCCTCGACCTGCTGGGCTCTGGCGATCCTTCCGCCTCAGTCTTCCAAGGAGCTGGGACTACAGGCGCGTGCCACCACGCCTGGCTAATTTTTTGATTTATTGTAGAGATGAGGTCTCGCCAAGCTGCCCAGGCGGGTCTCGAACCCGCGGGCTCAGGCCATCCGCTCACCTCAGCCTCCCAAAGCGCTGGGATTACAGGCTGAACCACCGAGCCCGGCTCAGGATTTTTAATTATAGCAGACATCCCAAACACCACCACTGCCTCCCGTGATGGCCTTCGTGACCTCCGCCTGGCATCAGACGCCTCACTTCTACTTTTTATTTTTTGAGTCAGGGGCTCACTCTGTCACCCAGGTTGGAGTGCAGTGGTACGATCACAGCTCGCTGCAGCCTTGACCTCCTGGGCTCAAGTGATCCTTCCATCTCAGCCTCTCAAGTAGCAGGGACTACAGGTATGCGCCACCACGCCCAGCTAATTTCTGTATTTTTTTGGTAGAGATGGGGTCTCACCATGTTCCCCAGGCTGGCTACGAACTCCTGGGCTCAAGCAATCCTCCCGCCTGGGCCTCCCAAAGTGCTGGGATGACAGGCACAAACCACCGTACCCGGCCGACACTTGAGATCTGGTTTAAACTTAACGACACCATCTCCATGAGCTCCTTTAGCTGTTGGTCTAAACCTGGTCCACCCCAGGCCGGGTTCTCCCCCAGGCCCTGCACCATGTCTGCTGCTTTCAAGTTAGCACAAGACTGCAGCCTCCCTGTGTTAAGGGCACCCGGCTTCTGAACAGAGTGGAGCTGGTGTGCACTCTTGGACAAGTTATGCAGCAACTTTATGCCTCAGTTTCCTTATCTGTGAACCTGGGGTGGTGGGTGGGGAGACCCCACTTCACAGCATCAGATTCACGATTTGTTTGGATTAAAACTGGACGGAATGCTAAGGCGTTCTGTCCACTGCATGGGACATGGCTGGAACTCTGTGATATCCCATTTCCCAGTCAAGGAAGTTAAGGATCAGGAAGATTAAGTACTGTGTCCAAGGCTGCACAGCTGAGGCAGCCAGGAGTCTAACCTGGGACAGTGACACTCTAAAGCCCTGCTCTGCACCTCAGGCCCGAAGAACTCCTGGTTGAATAAAGTCCCCCACCCCAACCAGTGGCTTTCACCCACTCTTGGCCCGCACGTGGCCCAAGCCAGCCACTTCCCTCCTACCTGGAGGGCCTGTGGTTTCTGGGCAGGGGATGGTCACGGAGTGTCTGAGGCAGTCGCTGAGGCAGCTGCTGAAGAAGGGCTGGACCTGCGGAGAGGAGCCGGGCGGGGGGTGGAGGCGACCTCGGGGTCAGGGGACGTGGTGTGGCAGGGGCAGCTGAGAGCCAGGGGCCCACGCGGGCTCCCCAGGACCTCCCGGCCATCTCGGGGAGATCTGTCACCTGTGGGAAGGGCTGCAGTACCCTGCCAGGCCAGGCTAGACCAAGGGGCAGGTGAACACATGGCCCGGCCAGGGAAGATGCCCCTGCCAGGCAGGGAAGCTCTGATGGGGGGGAGCTGGGTGCGCGGACAGGCAAGAGCGCAGCCCGCCCCTTCCTTCCCCCTCACCCGGCAGGAAGGTAGGAAAGGCCGTCTGTGCACACCCCACACCTGTCTACACCACACTCACCTGCCTGTGCATGCGCCCACACCTGTTCACACCACTCACCCACCTGTGCGTGCTCCCACACCTGTCTATACCACACTCACCCACCTGTGCACATGCCCACACCTATTCACACCACTCACCCGTGTACGCTCCCACACCTGTCTACACCAAACTCACCCGCCTGTGCATGTTCCCACACCTGTCTACACCACATTCACCGGCCTCTGAGCTGCCACACCACACTCACCCACTGCACCTGCTCCCATACCTGTCCCCCTCACACGCACCTGCACTTGGTGGCGGCAGCACACCTCAAACTTGTCCAGCGTGAACGTAACGTTGGCTCGCTGGTGGAAATCCTCTTGCCGAGGCTAGAGAGAGAGGAGAGGACGGGTCAGGCTAGTTGGGCCACACCCTGCTCTGGCACTGCCACCGGAAGTCTCCAGGGCACCCCAGGAAGGCCAGAGGGACAGATGCCCATCAGCCTTCCCTTCGGAAGGAAACTCCATTTCTGCAAGGCGACCGGCGTGCTGCTGACTCCGAGGCACATCCCGTCACCGGTGTTCCCGTCTTCGCTTTGGCCACTGGGAGTCAGGGCAACAAAGTCACGTTCACACCCGCAGTGGCAGAGAGCCACACAACACACGCTCCTCGCGGCAGTCCAGCTCCCTCTTATCTCCTTATATTTAGTTCCCTTCGTCTTCATTTCCACATTTCCTTGTGTTTTGAGTCGGAGTCTCATTCTGTCACCCAGGCTGGACTGCAGTGGCCACTCCCGGCCCCCACAGCCTTGACCTGCTGGGCTCCGGCAATCCTTCTGCCTCAGCCTTCCAAGGAGCTGGGACTACAGGCATGCGCCACCACACCTGGCTAATTTTTTTTTTTTGAGTTGGAGTCTCACTCGGTCGCCCAGACTGGAGTGCAGTGGCCGCTCCCGACCACCGCAGCCTCGACCTACTGGGGTCCGGCAATCCTTCCGCCTCAGCCTTCCGAGTAGCCGGAATGACAGGCACGCGCTACCACGTCTGGCTGATTTTTTGATTTATTGTAGAGATGAGGTCTTGCCAAGTTGCCCAGGCGGGTCTCGAACCCACGGGCTCAGGCAATCCACTCACCTCGGCCTCCCAAAGCGCTGGGATTACAGACTAATTTTTGATATATTGTAAAGACCAGGTCTCACCAACTTGCCCAGGCTGGTCTCAAACCCGTAGGTTCAGGCAATCCTCTCACCTCGGCTTTCAAAGTGCTGAGATTATTGCCGTAAGCCACTGTGCCCGGCCATTTCCGCATTTTTTTCTCTTTGATCCTCAGATTATTTTTGGAATAAAGGGAATAAGCAGCTAAACCAAAAGAGAATGGGGGGCGGGGAAGACGAGGGAGGGAAGAAAAAGAACCAGCTCACGGGCAGGAGAAAACGACCCTCTCTGTCAACCACAGAATCCACTAGAAGATCGGCAGGGCAGGTCAACTTGGGAGTGGGCTGTACAATGGTAGGGAAGGAAGAGCCACGGCCACCCCTGACCTCCAGGGACCACGTGCGGGGTCGAGCCCCGGGCTTCCGGGTTGCAGCTCCGGGACCGGCAGGGAGGAGGGGCGAGGCCTGGGGGTGGCTCTGAGCGCCACCGAGGGGTCCGGAAACGGCAGCATTACCGCAGGAACGCGCTGCCCATGCCCGGGACAGCTGCGATTCTCCGTGCGTGAGAAGCTGTTCAGCAGGACCAGGTAGGGGGTGGCCTCCTTCCACAAGGTGAAGGTCACGCGCAGCTGGTGGGCCTCCGGGGTCTCCACGGTGATGTTGGGCTCCCACAGGCTGCCTGTCGGGGGACAATGCAGGCCACGGGTTTGAGGGGAGCGTGTGCCTGTGTCTGTGACTGTGCACATGTGTGCCCCCGTGGAAAACTCTCCCCGGGCCAGCCCCGGTTACCTGAGCTCACGCATGGCGTGGTTACCTTCATCCTGGAGTCCTCGCAGCCTGCCGGCCCAGAAAAAAGAGAGACATCATGAAGTCTCTGCCTCAGAAAGTCCATCCTTCCAGACTCCCGACACCAGGGATGACCATCTTTTCCCCTCTGCTCACAGACGGCCCCTTCAGAGTGAGTTCTGGGGCTGGACCATGGCCTGGGGGTCTCACAGGACAGGGGGCTGGCCTCTGTCTCTTTCTCCTCTCACAGGGAAGCTTCCCGATTCAAGGGCATTCCTCCTGAGCTGACTTGGGTGGCCAAAAAATCTCGGTTCCCTCCGATCCCTGCTTCCTCCTTAGCCGTTTCTGATTCGGCGAGTCTGGGTGGGTGCCGAGAATCTGCATTTCCAGCAAGTTCCCAGGCGATCTGTTGCTGCGGTTGGTCCAGGGACCCCACCTTGGGGGACCTCTGCTCCCCAGTTACCTTCTTGACGCCCCCCCACCCCAATCTTCTTGACTGCAGAGTTTTTGTTTTGGTGTAAGAAGACATAAGACAGGTGTGAATCACCATGAGGGGAGCGGGACAGAGATCGGCAGCTTTAGGAATAGAAGAGAGAACTGGGAGACGTCTTCAGGCAACAAATGCTTACTGAGCACCTACTGTGTGCCGGGCCTTGTTCTAGGCACTGGAGTGAATAAGACAGGTCCTGCCCCCTGGAGATTACATTCCAGTAGAAGACACCAATGGAAGTGAACAGACAGCAAGCAATAGCACTGCAGGGGGTGATGGGTCACATGCAGAAAAACAGAGTAGGTAGATTGTGGGCGTGTGTGTGTGTGTGTGTGTGTGTGTGTGTGTGTGTGTGTGTGTGTGTGTATGCAGGGTGTTCTAGGAATGAAGGTCATCACCATCCTTAACAAGCATTTCCCAGTCACCTACTACAAGCAAAGCAATTCGTGAGGTGCTGGAGAGTATATAAATGGTTAGAAAACGACACTGTGGCCAGGCGTGGTGGTCCACCACTGGAATCCTAGCACTTTGGGAGGCTGAGGTGAGAGGACGGCCTGAGCCCAGGGGTTTGAAACCAACACAGCGAGACCTTGTTTCTACAATAAATAAAAAAAGTAGCCGGGCGTGGTGGCGTGTGCCTGTAGTCCCAGCTACTCGGGAGGCTGAGGTGGAGGGATCGCCCGAGCCTAGGAGGTTGAGGCTGTGGTAGTTGTGAGCGTGCCACCGCACTCTAGCCTGAGTGACAGAGTGAGACCCTGACTCCAAAAAAAAAGACAAGAAAATGAGACTTTGTTCTCAAGTGGGAGGGGTCTCCTGATGGAGCCGGCTTCGAGCAGTGAGAAATGCAGGTCACGGCAGAGACTTGGGAGGGACAGAGAAGAGTGCACGTATGTCAAATGGCGCTGGGGCAGATAATCACAGGCAGGGTGGACCACCAGGAGGAGGAGGGCGGTCTCCCTGGGACGGGCGTCGGGTGCCTGCAGGCGGGACATGGGCAGATGGAGGCTTGGACCCAGCTGAGGTCAGAGGTTGCGAATCCCTCACGAGGCTTGTCTTCTGGATACTTTGAGGGCAGGGAGAGAATTTCTCCAGGCAGAGGGAGGGACTCTGGTTCCCATTAGACTCCTGGATCTTGGGCCCACACCCACTGTCGTGCCCACAGAGAATGGCCTCTACCTCCGGCGGGAGAAGCCGCGGCCACACGCCAGAGAACTCCCAGCCCCGGCGTCTGTTTGTTCTGTGGGTACCACGCGCTGGCGAAGGCGACCACTGTCTCGCCGGGCAGGGAGGCTGATGTAAGCTACCCGCTTTCCCCTTGCAGATCCTGGTGGGGGAGGGGACGGCTTGGCAGGATGCTCTTACCAGGCACGAGGAAGTCCCTGGACTGGTGGTTTGGGTCCCCGTCAGGGATGGGCTTGGGCAGGTGGTGGACTGTCACCTCATACTCCTGGTCAGGGTCTACCACAAAGTGGCTGAAGGAAAAACGCCACTGAAGAGAAGGGAGGAAGGGGAGGACGGTCAGGTTACACACGCACCTCTCTTGCCCATCTGTGCCCAAAGCCCCATCCCCGTTCACCCCCAAGCGTTCAGTCAGACGTAAAGATGGCCGGGCGCAGGGACTCACGCCTGTAATCCCAGCATTCTGGCAGGCCAAGGTGGGAGGATCGCTTGTGCCCAGGAGTTTGAGACCAGTCTGGGCAACATGGCGAGACCTCATCTCTACAAAAAATGAAAAAAATTAGCCAGGTGTGGTGACACATGCCTGTAGTCCCAGCCACTCGGGAAGCTGAGGTGGAAAGATCGTCAGAGAACAGACAGTCAAGGCTGCAGTGAGCCGGGATGGTGCCACGGCATTCCAGCCTGGGCAACAGAGTGAGACCCTGACTTAACAAACAAACAAAAAAAAGCCCACAAACAAGCAAAACAAAAGTAAAGGAACAACAATCAAATAAAATCAAAAATCAAAGGCATGGGTATCATTGCTCTTTGCTTCCCGGGGTCCTCTCTGCCTATTTTTGAAAAAAACCTGGATGTGGCCTTACCAGTAGATAGTGTCACAATGCAAAAGAATCTGAGGACGCTGGGCGCGATGGCTCCAGCCTGTCATCCCAGCACTTTGGGAGGGGGAGGTGAGAGGACTGCCGGAGCTCAGGGGTTTGAGACCAGCCTGAGCAACGCAGCAAGACCTCGTCTCTACAATAAATAAAAAAATTAGTGGGGTGTGGTGGCGCGTGCCTATGGTTTCAGCTACCTGGAAGGCTAAGGCAGAAGGATCACCTGAGCCCCGCAGGTCAAGGCTGTGGTGGTCGTGAGCAGTGTGTCACTCCACTGCGTCCTAGGTGACAGAGTGAGACTCCGATTCAAAAAAAAAAAAAGGCAACCCCTTCAGGTCCCCTCCCACTGTGGGAGCTTTTCTGTTCTCTCAATAAATCCTCT